CAATGCTGCTATTAATCGCTACACTGCGATACATGTGATTGCAAAAACAAGTAATGTTCCGATCAAGGCGAGTATAAAGATACCGCACCAGGAAATAGCTTTTACGCGTTTGCCCAGACATCTGGATATCTTTATCTTGCATTTGCTATACGTCGCAAATTGTTAGTTGCAAAAAACCGTTAGCACCGTTCGACCGAACTGGTTTTCCTTCGCCCTAGCGCCCACGATCCGCGGTCACGAAGCACGAAGACATCGCGACGGATGGTCGAAGTTAGTGGAGCATACAGCCGCATATCCGGCGAAACACCACGAAGCGAATAGCCGCGGCTAACTACAGTCAACAATGAAACACCAAGGGGGAACAGGTGGTCACGCTACGCTGACCCGCCACCCACCATACACTTGAGACTGATGTTTTTTCTCAGAGGCGCTCGGTCAAGTACCCTCCCAGCACGGGAATGTAAATTTACTGAGGAAGTACAACGAGCATCCAAGTGCAATTTCTTCATCGCGTTGCAAAATTGCATTACGTGCTCGCGGACGAGGAAATATTTGCACAAATCCGTTCCTCATATTTCGCGATAATAACTGATCCTAGTTCGCGAAATTATAATGCAACCTGCTTTCCGTGAAAAATTGCGTGATATTTACGGACACCAACCGCGCGCGATGCGTTTCTCCAAACGCGAGAAAGTACGCTGTGGAAATGCGGAAAAATTTGCACGCTCGAGTTACACACAAACTCCTTCGTGCAACAATGAGTCTTTAACTATCCGCGATTCGTCGGTAGTTCTATTAGCATGTAAATGAAGGAAGTTGAGAAACGCGAGTCCACAACGCAGACGGCTTATGTATGCACTTAGAAAACATTGCGCGTGAGAAGTGTATGGAGAAACGAGGGGACGGAGGGTGGTTTTACGTGCTGGATCGCTTTGAAAAATGTATTTTACTTTTCTGTCAGCGACAATGAATCAACTCGCCGATACATATAACGATTTGCGTTCTCGCTAGTAAACGCTGCTGCTTTTCGTAGCGCATCGTTCGTGCTGCTGGGAGAAAGTGCAGCGTTTTTCTTCGCTGCTCTTCTTTTACCGCTGGAAATTTCTACATACATCTAAACCGAAGGGCTTTGAAGGCTTGTTTGCATCGAATACTAAGCTCTAAACGATCACATAGCGCTTTTGAAAGCGCATCGTGATTTAATTCTTTATAATTCGATGGAATTTTTAAGGCTCGTTGTTGTTTTTTTAATAATTACATCTCTATTTCCATTTAATAATTACATTTCTATTTCAATTAGTGAATATAATAAAAATTTTTTGAACTTGGAGAAATTAATAGAGTTGTAGATATGTAATAATATTTTTTATCTCAAGAGTATATACAATACACTCTTGAGATAAAGTAAATATCTTATCGCATATCTTATCGCGTCGAAATCACAATTCATAAATAGGAAATGCTGCAATGGCATCGGAATGTGTTTTTTTTTTCACACAAACAATTTTCCCGATAAGGAGGATATTTTTTGCTAGTTACGATTACAGCTAAACACACGCTTCGGTATGTAAAACCCATATTAAACTTTCTACTATCTCCTGATATGTTTTATGTCGGAGAGATGAGCGCGGTGGCCTAATTCGCGGCGGAAAAAGATTTTCGCGAGGGAAAGCGGAAAAGCGGAAAAGCGGTCCAATCAGCGGAGACAAAGGACGCGAGGTCGGTGCCGGAAAATGCACCCTTTATGTATCTCGCTTTTCACGCAGCGACTGCTATTGGACAGTCACCCATTGGATACCGGTAGCATTGCTTTATGTTACTGCGACAGGTTAATCTGGTACAACGTAAGCCGAAACAGCAACGAAGCATTCACCGTAATGCAACTGACAGAAAACAACAACGCAAGCAGTTTATAGTATTGCGCGTTTAGAAGAAAAGATTTTAATTCCTCTTTTTTTTTTTTAATTCAGAAACATTAACGTTGGACAGAGAAATTGACATTATATCATCAGTCGCAATATTTACTTATCGGAATTAATTATCTTTTCAGAAAATAGTACTTTTAAATATACTTTCTTTTTGATAACATATCATATGTATGCTCGCAAGACTGCGATATTCTTGTGCTTTTTATTAAATTTAAATGAGAATGACAGCCATAATTTTGGAAGCACATCTTTCCAACAATGAGATTGATATTTTGGAAACGTATCAGAGAGGCAGCAATGATTTCACAAATTATTTTCCCAGAGATGAATGTCCGTTAGATTTAAATATTGCACGGTGACTCCTCACACGCCCACATAATATGCAAATAAAATACATTAGCCGATATGCAAACGATGTATCGCGCATCGAGAAACGTTTGGATTACAATAGCCGGACAGCTCTGGATGTCCGATATTTGGTCTATTTGGGTCACAGTAAACAGCGGAAACCGAAGTTTTGGACAAACATTCAGTGCGGCACTCTGTTGCCGTGTGCGCACAAAGACTCAGATTCAATGCACGAATGATAACGTATGAGAATGTTGTGGGACTTGGTTCTCGAGGCAGCCCAACTTGTACTAATCTAATTGACAAGCCTTGAGGCCGATCTCCTACCGCCTGGCTGAATGATCCCCGCGGGCTACATCATAGACGATACGAAACACACACGCATGCATAAGCTTCGTTTGCAGGGCTACGAGAGCGTGTTCGTGTGCTTTGATGCCACTCGCATCTGAGTTGGTTTAACCCCTTCACATGCTAATTAACTGGACAGAAATGTCCAAAATTCTTCATTAGTTTCTTTTCTCGTTTTTTACTTCTGGCAATTTACTTGCAGTGCATGTACGTTTTTTTCCACGAAACAAAGAGCATGCCGACAATTCGATAAAAGATATCATTTTCAAGCTTATTCTAGTCTATTATAGCGAAATACTGTGATTACGCGCGAGCTAATAGCATTACACAAACGATATAATTAAATCGAAGCGCAATTACGCGTAGCATACGCGCATTTCGCTCGCACAACCAAGAATGCGTCTACGTGCTAACGCAATCGTTTTCCCACGCAATATGTACAGTACAATCAATTAAGACGTGAACTTACTCGAAACGAATACGCGAACGAACTTGCCAATCACACGCGCCGTCAATTTCGCGATCATCGCGAGTGATGATCTCATTATAACACCGGGCTGGGTTTATATTACGTCTTCACCCGCTGCGGAATTATGATTTCCGATTGTTTGCTGCGTTTTATGAAGCATTACTTATGCGATCCATTCGACACAGCGAACTACCTACAGAATTTAATAGATACTTTGGACACGCTCTCTCCCGGGAATTTCGTGTCGAACTAATAAGGAAACGCGATATGAACGATCGACTGAACCTGCTGCGACACGCTCTGAAATAAGGGTGTTAAAGCGAAGCATGATTCCATGAAGCGAAATAACGGTTGTAAGAGATACAGATAAGTTTATTCCAGTAATTCGGGTCGTTAGGCGAAATAATAGTAAAGTTACGGGACTCACAAACAAGAAAAAAAATGGATAAAAATAGAGTTTGTTCTTCCGTGATTTGAAATTAGTATGATAAAAGCATAACATTTAGAATCCTTGTTGAATCACAGACGAAAAAAAGTAGAATTTTACGTTAAATTTTTCTTGCAAATACTCGAATATTTTAGTTGTATTTGATAAATAATTTTATTTCACGTTTGACTTATGACTTTGTTATATGTTGGACTGCTGACCGATTTCTTTACGGCTCGAACACAATGCAAACTTCTGCGATCGGAGTAGCGTGAAGATCAGCGAATTGATCTTTTGGTAGCTGTAATAGGCGTGCAATCTCTAAATGTATTTGCGGGGAATAGATATTGTACTTTCTACAATTACTTTCTACAATTAAAGCAGAAATGTGAATGATGTTACTCCGCACGCTACTAGTGAACGCGTTCGTGCAGCAAACGAGGCGTTGAACAGTAAAATGTATCAACCTATATATTATGGAAATTGAGTAAGTGCGATTGAACGCGTTTGCGCGACTTTGTTTCATTTATCAGCAACTCGATGCCGAAGCTCTACTTTCGTAAGATTTTGTTGGAATATCTTCAGTTACTCAGTTACTATGTAACTGTACAATTCAGATAATCAATAAACTGGTTTTATATATATATATATATATATATATATTAATTTATAAAATTCTATTATTTTTTTACTTCCAATTATATTAAACTATTTTAGCGTACTATAAAAAAAATGAGAAAAAGATTGCCCAAGGATTTGATTTCAATTCTTGATCGATGTATTGTATTTTCGCACAACGTTGCAAAAGCGGGGTAAAAACTTTTAATAAAGTTCCCGCCCGCTGCACTGCGGACTGGAGTTTTATGTTATACTCCCTAAGGTGAGCAGGCTCGTAAACGAGGTCATCTTTACAATGTTGAAAATTGTGCCTGTGTATATAGATACTGTATGCATTTCCGAGCTCTCGGTCGGCACTTTTTCTTGAATTTTAAACAGTAGCGCATACGTAAACCGCATACTGAGATTGCTAAGGATTGACTAAAAGACTAAATATTGTTCACGGACATTTTTTTATCCATACAACTTTCACATGCACAACACATATTATTGTATTTTTACTAAATATTTATAAATTTTTGGTAATTCCAGATTTTAAAAGAACTATTTTGTCTGTAAATGCAAAAAAAAAGAGCAGACGCGTCATTATTAACCTGTATTGAAAATATTTTATATTTCTTTCGTAATATGCAGCTTTATACGAATTCAATTTAAAAGTTTTTCGAAATTTCGTTTACATGCCACAAAAAATTATTAATATCATTAGTAAAAATAAAATGCTATTTTATTTAACGATTCTATTATATAATAATATAGCAATTATTAGAAAATATCTAAAATAGTTATAATATAGGCTATATATGCTTCAACAAAAAATGTAATACGAGCGCATCGTAAAATAATATTGTATTGCTTGTTGCAGATCGAGCGAGGAGATCTAACGGACAGAAATGACTCGCAGAAGAACGTCTATTCTCATATTGGGAGTATGCATAGGTGAGTTTTAGCTGCAAAAAGGGGGCGTTCTCTTCTATTTTTCATAGTTATACAGAAAATATAGGTTAAATCTTAATGTTGCTCCGCATTGTCTCGAAAGGAAAAGAAAGAACGGCGTTCTAAGCGGATTACGTACGCAACTTTTATTTCGAGCCGTATCGCGCGCGCAGCAGCATTGCCGTCGGAGAGAATGGGCGAACATCTCTCCGGCTGCATCCTGTTGCATTGTGAACTCATGATGTAAAGCCTGCCAATCGAGGTGACTGCACCAAGTACTGTTAGGTTTACTGCAATGCGCCCGCCTGCAAGCTAACTGTATATATAACCCGCAATTTAATAACAAAATTTTCCATCTCACCTCCCTTGATGAGTTTGTCCCTTCCTTCTTATCTTATTTATATTTAAATAATATAATAATTAAATTCAAGCAAAATAAATATTTATTACGAATAACAGAGGCATGTGCTATTTTAGAGTGGATTTTTTAGATTTTTTAAAATTCCATTTTCTATGACATTTTATTAATATCTTTCTCGCGTATATGAATGCGGAAATACAAGAGTCGTGACGCAGTTCACGTGACGGTATTTACTTAACATTATAAGAAATAATGATTGATTGTGTTGACCGACACACATATGTATTTGCGGAGAAAGAGAATTGAGTATTCCTTTAAATAATACTGAACCTAACGATGTAGGAACTTCGCGACTTTACTAAAAATAGAATTGATGTCTGTAAGATAAATGTGTCAAAATCAGTGACACAATAAATAATAAGCGAGCAATTCCTTTAATGATGCTTTCAACATGCGGATAATTAAATATTTGTTAATGATACACGAAGAAACTTAAATAACACGTGTCCCATTCTTTTTTCAAATATCGTATTGCATTAATGAAAATGTTAACAATCACACGCGCGCACATATTATTTTAAAACATTAAAAGCTACCTTACCCTACCTAGTTTATCATTTAGAGATGTTATCGAGTAAGATACTTTGTAATTAGAGAACAATGCGAAAATTCTCAGTAATTATGTTAAAGGAGTTACGCGTAAGCTGATGAGCTAACAAGCGTCTGTTATTTAATTTTGTACGCTACATAAATAAATGCGTATCATTTATACTGATTAAACTGTTACAAAGTAAAAAATAGTTAATAAATAACTGTGTAATTTCAATATGCATCAGGATTCAATAATTTTCAACAATGCAGATACTCGATAATACTTGATCGATAAAATGTCCTTTCAATCATAAACGATGCCTCTATTGTACTTTGTTATATAAATTTTGCGTTACATAATGACTGTTTCCAGAGAAATTGCTCAATGCAATATCTACATGTAAAAAAAGACTATTGACAAGCTAATTTATTGACAGGACAGTAATATTAAAAGATACGTACATATTTACGTCGTTCTGCATCAAATGTTTATTTTATTCATATACTATATAAGCAGAATTTCAATTGTAAATTATATAAATTTAAAAAAAAATAAAGTTAATAAATTATTAATTAAATTTTATTTTTATTTTATATAGTAAAATATATTGTATAACAAATATTTAAATTTATAAATCTTTTTTTGTTTTTTTTCTTAATAATGAGATTCAAAAAATTTAAAAACACGTTTTAAAAGTCAAGAAATGTAAATCTAGAAGGTAAACGAGTCAAATATGTATTTTAAGAAATGTCTAGGAAGAATAGTTTAAAAAATAAATGAAGGTTTGTCTTTTAAAATAAGTAAAGCATAAGAAATCGATATTGTCATAAAATCTGCAGTATTTGTTAGAAATTAAATAGAGATATTGAGGTAGAACTCAGGTGAAAAATTCTCGCTGCGAATCTACGTCAATAAAATAAATATTTATAATCTATGAATATTTATTTATAAATATTTATATCGGCCCTACGTTCTCGACAAGAGAAAAAGTAGTCGTATCAACGTAGATCAGCAAAACACGAAGACACACTCAAAGTCTGTGCATAATTGCGAGGTCTTCTTAATATTCAGACTCACGCTCTCGCTGCACCGCGCCGTTGCGGCTACGCGCGCTTTCAATTTTCCGTGGAACGCAAACTCTGTACTATGGTATTCACGCGAATAGCTCCGAAGGAGTCCGCCGGTAATTCTACGGATAACCGGTTTTTCGCAGCATTAAACGCCTCATCTACCACATTTATATTGCGTCGCGCTCCTCAATGAAAACCAGTTGTCGTTGTTGTTGACGAATGCGACTTCTGTTTTTTCCTGCGTTATGAAATGCGTTTATTACGAGTTATTATCCATTTTATTGCAAATGCGAGTAATTTGCCATTTTATTGCAATAAAGATTACGTGGAACTATGAAAATAAACAGATCGAAGCCAAATTACTAGAGCCAATGTGGAAATTTTTCTGCAGACTCGATTTACATTTCAGAGGAATAAATGTTTCTCGAAGCTTTCTTGTAATAAAAAATTTATAAAAATGATTATAGAATATTATGAGATAAATAGTTATTATAATATAATATTATGTGTTTAAGATATATAGAATGTATATATCTGTGAAAAATAGAAGACTAGAATAGAGCGATTATTACATTTTCACACAGTGGAAAATAAGCATAGATATAAAGAATGAAATTTGATGATTTCAGGTTTTCTATTCTACGGCAATGTAATCGCGGAGGTTACTGAAGCATCCACTGTGGCATCAGAGAAATCTGATTTCCACAAAGCGTTGACTCCCCAAGGAACCAGCACGACTATCGCAACAAGCATTCCGTCGATCCATCAAAATCAATCAATCGTAGAGAAAGATGAACGAAATATTGATCTGACGAGTCGAAAAGCTCATGAGAGGGAAGATGAATCGCGAGACAGCGGTGACGAAAGCGCGAGTCAGGATGGTGAAAAAGGCAATGTGTCACGTAGCGCGAGTGACACGACACTTGGTGCGAATTCGCACGAAGAATCTGAGAGTTCATCATCGGATGACGGAAGCAGGAGGGTAAAATACGGAGAAATCGCTGCTGAAAGCTCCGGGAAGAGCACCAGCACGAAAGCCGTCTCCGAGGATCCTCTCAGACTCTTTAGGACGAACGAACTAACTATAGCGACCGCGAAGCCGGCTTTGAACGACTCGAAGCAGGACAATAAGAAGAACTTAGAAGATGCCACGCTTCAAGAATCTTCCGACCACGAAGGGATGTCTGATACCACCAAAAGCATTCCAATTACAAACGAGAAAGTCATCAACGCAAAGTTAACCGCGAACATTATGAAAATCTCGGAACCTAAGTATGTAATCGAGGAATCTCTCACCAAACGCGAAGAGAGGAAAAATATGACTGTGAATAAAGAGATAACGACCGTCAAGTCTATCGGAGATTTCTCTTTGACATCTTCAACACCGTCGCTCGAAGACGCCGAGAAGAAAGATAAAATTACCAAGTTCGATTTCAAGGAAGTCGCGTCAAAGAGCGAGTCGAGGAAGGACAAAAATGCAACCTCGGCCGACTTGAAAGAAAATATGGAGGATCATAAACTGGAAAATCGCGATCGGGAATTAACTACGCCGCGCGGTATTCAGTACGAAGATCCTCCAGAGACCAAGAGAGACGCGAACGATCTAGGAACCACGGCGTCCGAAGCGCTCGATCTCGGCAAGATCGATGGAAAGGGACACGAAGGGACCATTTCGCTAATTAACGACACTTACGTGAACTACAATCACTTTTACAAGACTCTTACGGAGAAAGAGCCGAAAGCCGGCTCGAGCAATCACTCGGGCGATCCGAAGAAAGAGGTGGAGGTCGTTGAGAACGTGACTCACCAGCCGATACTGAGGATCGTAACCGCCACGAACGACACCGCAAAAAACGACTCTCACTTCAATGAACTGAATAACCGGGAGCAAAAAATCGACGCCAAAGATGAGAACCGTCGCGAGCAAAGGGTTGACTCTTCAGTAATCAACGCAACCCTCACGAGTGCGGGCGGAGGCGCGGAGGAACGGAAATCGATAGGTGAACCCGAGAGTCAGGTGAAGTTGCCCGAAACGACGACGCGGAGCGTCCGACTTGAAGAGCACACTTCACCTATTTCTCCGGAAGCCACTCCTAGTCCGGTTCCGCAAGGCAGAACTATCGGGTTTTCCGGAGTCAACGAGTTCCCGAATATCGAGGTGAAATCTACAACAAAGGCCGACGGAGGATCCGAAGCGTCGTCGGTCATTCAGAGCTCGCGAAATAATTCTAGCGCGGAAAAAATAGATCAAAGACCTTATCCTTATTTGAAATCCAGCAAGCAACCGTTTCAAGTGACAACGGAAGCCAGTTTAAAGCCAGGCGTTACTGAGGAAACATCAGCTTATGAGAACACGATCGGGAAAGGAGAGTCCGAGAAAAAGTTTATCGTCACGGAACCTTCGGTGGTGATCGAGAACAGCATCCAGCAGCAAAAATCGGATAAAAGGAACATAAAGGAGTCCAGGAATTCCACGACGGGAAATCCATCCTCCTTAACAGCGGCGACAGCGGTCCCGATTGTTTCAGTCGGGCCAACGAACAAAACTTATCCGCAAAAATTTAACGGCACCGCGTTTGCCGCAGTAATAAAAGAATCGAACAAGAATAATGCATCCAATACAAAAGAAAAAGAGAAAGTAATTGCAAGTAGCGAAGCTTACGACGTGACCGGAAATGGAATAACGGAAGTCAGCTTGACTCAAAACGGTAAACAAGTGAAATCACATTCCAGTGAAGCGACAAACGCGTCAACATCGCGTTCCACGGAGATGCCGAAGACGCCTAAGACAGTCGCTTTGAACACAGACATTCAAACGGAACCAGAAGGGGCTATGATGATCCGCTCGACTCTCGTCGTCACCGAATCCACGATGGTTCCCGTAGATGGAGATGTGGCGAAGGAAACGAACAAATCCACAATTTCGACGACATTGGCGGCGGAAGTTAAATCATCAATGAACGCCACGATAATTCTCGAAAATTCCACGAAACCGACGCCGAAGGCGAATGTCACGCAGCAATCTTCGAGCGCTAATCAAACTTCCAAGTCTCCATCTGTCACTTTGAATCCCGACGAATCGTCAATTCCGACAACTACGTCCGTCGAATTCGAATTCGTCAGTCTCACGGAGGCGGTTTCGTCGGGAAATAACGCGACCGAGAGAACTGTCGAAAGACAAACGATGCCATCGAAGACAACTCACGATTCCGCCACGGCGAATAATTCCACAGGGAATGTCACCACAATAAAGCCTGAGAATTTCAGCGAACTTCCAACGACGATCGAAAACGGAACACCGACGACGGATCGAGCAACCGTGTACCGTGCAAGCAACGAAACCACCGTCGCCGATTCTCCGATTACGTCGACCGCTCCCGCGGAGCAAACTAATCGCACGGATTTCACGGGGAACGAAGTTACAATGAGCGTTATCGATTTTACCACCGCTGATAATGCGGGTGCCTCCGGCATTACCGAGGATTCCGCGGAGCCTAAGGATTCGAGTTTTGACGTGAACATCACCGAGACGTCCGCCCCAGGCGCGACGGAGCTTCTGCCGAGTTCGGGCATCACGACGATGCCGTCTACGACTAACGCTACAAGGAGCCCTTCAACGCCGTTCGCCACGAGCACCCCGAAACCGAATATTTTCTGGAGTACACCGAGTTTCACGGATTCGTCTGAGGAGGAAATAACGGAAAGTGTTCAGACTCTATCGTCGGACGAGATTACGTTACTGGTTAAAATAGTCATCGAGGGCACTTTACACGAGGTCTGTCCTCGACTGCAAGATCTGAGAAAGGCGATCGCGGACGCTCTCGCAAAGAGCATTGGCAAGTAAGTGATATAAGATGCTATTCTTTATCTCGAATATTAATTTTCCTAGACTTGTTAAATATATATACTAATTATTGTATAATATATATCGGGTAATGTATCAAATGATATTTTAGTTTGTATAACTTCGCTTATTTTCATAATTTAATTATATTGTTACGGAAAGCTTAATGTTGCAACTTCCATATATTTATATATTTTTGAATGTCTATATGATGAAACGGTCATATTTTAGTAATTTTCTGTTTTAATGAACAATAAATGATTTATTTAATATTATAATTTAAATACTAATAAATTAACATAGCAAGTAGATTCGAAATTATTTCCAATAGAAAAGTTCGTAGAAAGTATAAAATAGAAATTTATTTTAATATAAAAAATTACTTTCTCTTCAATTAAAAAAACGTTACTTTATACCGAATCCTGAAACTATTTACCTGAAAGTGCATTCGTTATATCTATTGTGAAATATACGACACTTCGTTTCCCAGACGTGTATTGCCGAAACAAATCGTCGTCCATCAGAATCCTTGTCTCGAGTCATCAAACTCGTCACCGACACCTACGGACACTTCCCTAACCACGATTTTAGTATACGTCGTCGACGGGGACGGCAAGTTCGACGCGGCCATGACGAAGATTCTACCAAGTTTACACAAGGTGTCTCCCAACTTCCCAGTGAGAGTAAGTTGAAAACGGTAGAGGAGGTCGGACGTGAATTAGAACACAGTAACGGCTTCTCGATCTTGTCGGAGATCAGCAGAAGTCTATTATAACTTTTACCCCCAGCGCGTCTCGTTAAAATTTAACCACTCCGATAATCGACCGGGAATCTTTCATTAACTTCGAATTGATAACCTTTGGTTATCGGAAAAAGACGTTTCTACGAAGCGTCCCTTCTCTGTTAACAAGAATTGATTGACGTTACGTCGTATATTGAAGTAATTGAAAGTACATTCATACCAGTAATATCGCTAGAATATCTCTATTAAATTGTATCAGGCCACCCATTCTTTCCAGATACACAAGTTTCTTCTAATTCCGGAAGCGGATTCCGGAAACGCGATAGCCGTCGTCGTGGTCTCTTCTGTCGCCTTTATTTGTCTGGTTCTTTTGGCCGGTCTTTTGGTAAGCATTTTATTCGCTTATTTAGCAGCTCTATATAAAGATATTTATGTATATATACGGTATCGTGTTTAATTTATGACAAATATTGATGCTCACATTTGGCGTTGAATTATCTTTTATGCGCACGAACACGCAAAATAAAAGATACTTTACGCGAGATACACTGTAGATATCATTCTGCATGTAACATAAGATTGACTCAATTTTCTCGATACTTTTGCGACATAATTGCATAAAACATCTTGGATTCTTTTAAATCCTTATTTGTATCTTAGTTTCAAAATCTTTTAGAATGCGCATCGCATGCAATTTTTTTCGCGTCATGTTTACGCGTCACGTGGCATTCTACTGAAGAGTCGAAACAGGGAAACACTAATGTTTTAAGATACAGTTGCGCAGGTCCGCAAAAATCCATGCTCACTGACGTAGTCTGCTGCGTCGCGCTTGCATGGCGATAAACCTCTGTTCATAAGGTGTACGCGTCGGTGTCTCCATCCGTCCATTCGTCTGTCCACATTCATAATTCTCTTCCAGTGTACGTAATAGCTCATGATAACATGTCTATGTACGTGTCTTTACCTGGGCGGTGAAAGACGATCTCTTTGCGCGGTGACGCGATAATACGCGATGCATGCACACACTATTTCACGACACAAGTAATTTTTTTATTTTTAAAGTAATAACGGCTTCTTATATGATTTCTTTCGGTCACGCTTGTGCTGACATTTCCGTTTATTGGTATAATAATGCATAATATGTATATGTGCGGCTGACGCTGAATACAAATTAATCGTTTCACGAGAAATCGAGAAGACTCCGTGGACATTAATAACAAATTATTTCGTAATTGCGAAAAGAAATAATTGCGCTAATATTTCTCGTATGATATATTTTGTTAGAACGTTTTTTGCCATTATTTCTGTAATAATGTTGCTACAAGATTTGCTGCTTCGCAGCATTTTCTCCGGTCATCAGTAACACTAACACCGTGCTTGCACGGCGTGCAATAATTAAATTTTAATGAACGTGTAATGCAATCATATAATGCCAAGCGGAATATAAGCCAACGAAACTTAACGAATCAATTAATAAGGAAGAGAAAGAAAATTATATAGTGTCGGAGGAAATCTAACGATATTATCTCGTAAAATATTTTAAAACCGCATTCTCGTCGTTAGAAAAGCACTCTTTCGTAATGAATCGACCGGCTAATCCCATTAAACAAACAAGTTTAGCGTGAAAAATGTTTTAACGTCGCGAGGGAATCCGGAGTAAATTACACATTTTTAGAAAATATATAATTTTTACTTGCGTTAATCGCACAATTTAGTGATAAGCGTGAAATGTTAAAAATAACAGCGATTACGGAACATGAATAACGACGATAATACGCTTGGAAGCCGCGAAATATTAAAACGACACGGTTTATCCGGAAAAATCCTCAGTCAAACGCGCAGTCACAGTGGGATTACCCTGCATAAAAAAAAATATTTGCACCAACATGATAAACGACAGATAATTAACGACACGAGGATTGGTGGCGCGTTTTATTTCCGGAAGGAATGAAATATTTGCGCACACGTGGTTTATCCGGCCTTGAATGGCTGATTAGATCGGCCAATAATATCGACGTTCCATGCTTCATCAGCGCTGCGCCGTGTTTCTTATAGCCTTTGTTGCATGCGAATGATGATGTCGAAATGGCCCGCTTGTGCTACGTGTTTCGACCACATTATCTTATATTTCACAGTCCGTCGCGCGATTTCCTCAATCTCTTTTTAGATATGTCGGTCACATGACGTAATTGGTAATACATCTATCGTTGCTTAATTGTAAGCAACGAATTGCGCAATACCGTTTGCTTAAAATGACTGATCTTTTTATTGCAATTATCTTCTGCCGCAAAAAAAAACACGGAAACTAAACAAAAAAGGCATTAATTAGATTAGATAAGATGCGATTAAATTAAACGAGAAAAAAAAGTGAGAATTCTCGAATACACGAATTTGCTTAAATCGAGGATTGCAAGTCGCGATGCATTTTTATCGCTCATAAATATATTTTGCACGCTGGCAAACTGCAGTTTTCGATTCGGTGCATGGCCACTAAGTTAACCGCCACCGCATTTCGGGATATCGTGAGTATTCGTAAATCGGTTATTGTTATAGAGCAGAGTTGCAAAATTGCGAACAGTAAGGCCGCTAGATGGGCTTTTGCATACGTTTTATCGAATGCAAACAACCGTTAATCTTAGCTGTAACTACTTACAGTTTATAATGAGAAAGAGGCAAACGAGGTTCAACTACGGAGAACGGTGCCGACCGGTATCCTTGGACGCTTACAGCCTCGACAGCGTTTCAGCGTACAATAGCGTACGGCGCAAGGGCGCGGCGAGATCCTCCAAGAGAAGTTATGGCAATCCTACTTTCGAAGATTCGGTAAGTTTAAGAAGATTTATTACAGTAGTCTTTAGAAACTGTTCAAATTTCGCATTTTCTCATTTATAGGGATTGAATTTTATGTTTACTTTATGATTTTAATATATTTTAATATATATATTTTGATCTATATTATTAACGTCATTAAAAAATGGATCGTCCAATTGTTCTATGCTCAAGAAAGAATTTTTTTTCTGCATTAAATTTCTTAATGATATATATAATTATTTTCTGTACGCCACTATCAATAATTTTCTTTTCTTTATAGCTACTACGTGTTACGAAAGTATAGATCTAAGTAAACCGTTCAGGTAAAAAAAAAATATACAAAGCGATGTGTAATGCTATTCATATCTAGCAAAATAATAGCTGTACATCAATAGTTTGGTAACAGATCAATACATTCGATCAATACATTAAAGCAAATCGGTTATGTCATAGCTTCGATTTCTGCCATTAAGCTGCCCTATCTATTCTGCACTATCAAAGCTTTGTTAGACTCCTGCTAGAATTCTGTCGATGTCATTCGATATGACAAATCCTGGATTAATTCTATCGCTTTTCTATTTGTAGACATTCTACAAACGACTGCTCTCACAAACTTGATCTGTATAGTTGGTATATTTGTACTATCGTGAAGTTCCCCTTTCGTGTACACCAATAAATTATCTTGGAAGAATTTATCTGTGAACTCTTGTAGTGACAGTTAGCTTTTCCCGTTTATTTTGCAAGAAATTATTTCCCAAAAATATTTATCAGAAATATTAATATTATGAGTATAAAATTATACAAGTATAATAATTATTCTAATATTAAAAAAAACTTATTCCTACTTTGAATGTGTGAACACAGATTAATCGACTTAACGCAATTTATCAAAGTTGCTTCATACTTTTTCCGAATCTTTCTATTGAATCAAATTTAGGAAATCGACGTGCCCTAAATATTTTTCGCGATTGATATCCCTCTGTGGTTCTCGATCAAAGGGAACGAGGCAACATTTCACTATGAACAAAGCGTTTCTATGAAAGATATGCCTTATTTCAGAGCGCCATTCCCTCCCATCCCCTGAATTTCGCCGGGCTTTCATCCTTCTGTAACGACGTTAACGCAATCAACGAGGAGTACGCGGGTATACCCCAAGTTTCGGCGAAGATAGACGAGCTGCCCCCAGGAGCGGAGGTGAAGAATAGGTACGCGAATGTGATACCGCTTCCGGAGACGAGGGTGCCGTTACAGAAGCTGAACAATGACGCCTTGACTGAGTACATCAACGCCAGTTACGTGCGGGTAAGTGCGACGTTTTGATCGAACTGATTTCGCGAGCATGTTCCATTGCATGGTTCACAAGGGACACCTTTTTCGCTGCGTGCGGCGCTTCTGTTAAAGATTTTACGCTTCCCCGAGATATTTACGACGCGGAACGTGAGACATAAGCGATAACCGCGCTCGGATTCGAGTATGATTTACGGTTCTATTTTGCTGCAGAATTGCGGGTTACCGGTTCACCGGAGATGCTTCTGAGCGATGTGAGTTAATTAATGTTGAAGCCAACAACGTCGAATAAAAAATACAAGTGTCCCGCGTTTACACGAACTTTTATACAAAGGGAGAGTTCCATACATAATTATTTACGTCACTGGAATAATAGTATTTGCGCGAGGCAGGATTATGTCAGTCATAAGATACAATGAATAAGCTAAAGTGTTAAAGACTTAGCAAAACGTTTTTACAACGAGTATGGGAAAAGAATGTTGCGTAATACATCGCCGGGAAAGTGAGTGCATTGTATCGCGGTAAGCTGGGAACGCAGACGCGGAAGCGTCGGGAATTGTTCGCGGAATAACTAGTTTGCCTTTTAATCATGGTAGTATTATAAAACCGGGTCAAAGAAGTACAAAGGCTAATTGTTTGGATATGTAGGGTCATGTTACGAAAAATGTATTTGCCCGAGAATATATGTATTGCTCGCACCTTTTAAAAGAACCAGAATTATCAAACGAGCGGAAAAGTTACATATGTTTCAAAAATAAATTGTAAAGGAATTGAAAAAACTAGAATGAATTTGATTGCACACGCGTTTATCAATCTTTTAGCACAAAAAATATCAAAAGTTGTTCCGCAAGTTTTAAAGAATTTATAATTTGCATTAGACTTTTTTACAGAAATTAATTTATATTTTTTTACTATGTAACTTTATAAAATGTTTCTTATTTAATTTCTTGCGACGATTCTCTTCAGCTCAAAAATAATATTTTTTATTTTGATATTTTTATCAGTTTTTATTATCATCCATCAGTTTACTGCGAAAAATGCGCGATTATACATACAGCGTAAAAAATTGTGCTTTAACAGCGGTAATCTGTTATAACAGTAATACTCTGAGAAGAGCCTGTGTTCGGAATTTTTTTTCGTTGCACAAACCGCGAAGAGATGTTGCGAATGTGTTACATGCTGTCGTAACGGTTTACATAACAAACAACTTGATCGATTCAAATGAACACATTTCTTGCAATAAATAATTTTTGACTTAATTAACAAGAAACTTTCTTTGTGTTTATAAAAAATAAAATCCTAGAAATTTGAAAAATTATATAAATATATAATACGAGCAAAATAGTCATTTATCTCGTATATTTTTAAATGCAGCGTGAGATTTGATGGAAATAAACGAGGCTTCCATCGGGAAATCAAATCAATCGATCGATAAGCGCATCTAATAACGGCGTTGCTTCCGGCCGGGATTGCTTCATATCGTAGATACAATCGACCCGGCATTCGTAATGCTTCCACCTTACTATAGTGTGTACATCTTGCAATTACGCAGCATGCCGGTATTACCGCGCACCGAACGCAGCCGATGGAACGCAATCTGACGCGCAATTAATTCCGTTCGACACTCGATAAAATCTCGTAATATCTCGAAAACACGATTAAACATTTCGATGGAATGTAATTGATTGTGTTGCGATTCGGCAATTATTCAATAAATAAATCAAAAGCGTTAAAATACTGTCGATAAAAACGAAACAAATACTGCTAAAAGGATGTTTTTAAAATATAATATTATAAATTAAACATTTCACTGTGTTAAAATTAATTGTCACAGCAATTAGTGAATAAAAGTGTTTTATTTTAAAATGTTAAAATAAAAAATGTATCTATGTGTATTATCCAAAAATTTTAAATTTAATTATTAATCGTTTAATTTTTGCAGATTTGTTGTCTTTAAGTTTCTAAACACAATTCAGCGAAATATATAGTGTCATGTTGTAATTACTAAAATTTTACAAATAATGATAATATTCCTAATTATTAAATATTAATAGTATAATTCTAAATTAATTAACAATTGAAATTATACATAATGCCAGAATAAATAATGATATCCACTTTCACATTTGTAAAGTGCTTGGATATAATTACGAATGTGATCTGTATAGTATTCCAATTTGCACAACAGACATATGGATTTAAAAAACACGTCGGTGTTTCAGGGACCTAAGAACGCAACAAAGTATTATATCGCGTGCCAAGCGCCAATCGAGTCGACTGTTACCGACTTCTGGCGAATGATCTGGGAGCAACAGAGCAAAGTAATCATTATGCTGACCGATCTCGTGGAGAACGAAGTGGAAAAATGCACGGAGTACATTCCACCCTCGGAGGTGACCGACTGTCACCGACTTTACGGTGATTTCCAAGTCACCCTGAAGAAGCGGGAAACCAAAGAGAAATACGCTATCTCTACGCTTCACTTGAAGGTAAAGAACATTTCTTACCGCACGGATTACATCGCCTGACGATAACGGAATTGCTCGGAGGCTAATCGTCTTGACAATCGATATTTTTATAAAATCGTCTCAACTATTCTCTATTAATTTTATTCGCTTTAAATTTAGATTAATTAAATATCCATTGCAAAGCAGCGTTCTTTAAGAGGATGCTGAAGTGACGGGCGAACTCCGACGCGAAAGCGCCATCATTTCGATGGTACTAAAAATGAAATGACATTATCGGCGCAGCCTACGGACCTATGCCGCGTAGGTCCGTGTGTACGCATTTGTTTGTAGTGGTGACTCACTACACTGACGTGTGGTCTGTGTACGTGTGTCATCGGAAGTTTGTAAACAAACGATGCTTGCGCTTGTTTCCTCGACTGAAATTTCGTCGCAAAGCTGCAATATAATGTCCGAGAAAACATAAGCGTATACAAGGTGTCAAATAAATACAAACTAAATATGACAAAATAATAAATAAAAAATATACATATAATACTATA